TTGGCAGTGGCGGGGGAGCCTGAGGACGTCAGGAGACAGACGGCTGAAAGGAGGTCTGGCTGGCAGCTCCCAGGATCTCATGAAGATCTGAGGCAGACTGGCCTCACAGACAAAGGATATCATTCAGGACCTGGAAGTCAGTCTCCAAAGCAGCTCGAGGAATGGATTATCTCACTTGTCCTCGATGGCAGCGTCTGATCCTCAGACCTTCTACTGACTCAGCCCTTCTGTGGAATCACAGCGCACGAAGGACGTCTCCAGCCAACCTTCTCACTCGCTCTGCTCTGCTTTTGTCGGCCTCTCGCTCTGCACACTCACCGTTCCTTGAGGCCTCTTTCCTCGTTTTCCTTTGTCACCTCCGCTTTCGCTTTCACTATCTTCTCATCCTCTTCCCACGCTTCCCTGTTCAAATTCTTGAGAAAGAAAGGGAGCCACCAGGCAATCACCCCCATCTCCGTCTGAGTGGGTTAGCAGCACCTCTCTTTCCCTTCCTAATCTGCAACGCAGGAAAGCACCGCTGAGCTGTGTGGCAGAGCCTCGGCGGTGAGAGTCTGCAGAGGTGACGTGTGTGCAGCAGCCAGCATGGCCGGGCCGGCAGCGTGCACCACATGCTGGCTCCTTCCTCTCCTTTCCTCTCCCTCAAGGCCGTGCCCCCGGCCTGTTCCCGGATGAGTGGCATTGCAGGTGCGAAACAAGTACCGCTGTATGTTAATAAGAACAGTGTGTGTGTGTGTGGAGAGAGAGAAAGTGAAATATTTACTGAGTATATAGCCAGCTGTTTGACATTAGATACTCAAAACAAACAAACAAACAAACAAACACGTAGAGGCAAAATAAAAATTATGAACCCTTGCTATTTTTGAGCATTCTGCCTATCTTCAAATATCTGCTGTTTTGTTTATCATACTCTCAAACTTAAGATGGCCTCAGCCGTACGCTTCTGGATTCCTCACCCAGCACGGTTACACAGTTCTGTCACACACTCGCCTGAACGGCTCCCATTCCCTTCCCAGGCCACGCACCACTCACGCTCATGCTGGTTTTGACAAAAGCAAACACTAAATATACTTGCCGTGCATGAACATTTTATGAAGAGGCCACACATATAGATTTGTTGGTGAGAGAAAATGCAAATATCCTTCCTTCCTTCCTTTGTGTTTTGTATCTATCTAAATTTATAATGTAAATATTCACAGACATTCTGGCTAAAAATCCAGCAATATCTGAACCAAAACTAAACAAAAACACCCCAAGTGCTTAAGCTCTGTTACACAGAAAACAATGGTACAGGCTAAAAGTCAGACCTAGGTTTGAGTCCTGCCTCTGCTACTTATTATCAAGCAATTAGGAATTTCTAAACTTGGGAGGAAGCATAATGAAACAGATGAGAAATGAATGCTAGCAGGATAAATGCTGTAGCAAACCAGACCTGACTTTATAGTACTTGTCTGCACGCTTTGTAGTGGTCCAAACAGCACACATGCCCAGGAAGTGTGGGATTTGTGTAGGGTGGCAACAGCTCCCCTGGGAACGGTCTGACGGAAGATGGCCAGAAAAAAGAGAGCCCGAAGGCACAGGCTATGAGCTGAGCATGTGCAGCTGGCAGCAGCAGGTCCGGCCTGAGGCCAGGCAGGAGGGAAATGTGGGGATGTTGTTTCTCTTAAGGAAAGGCGCATGCAGATGTCTGTTCCACGTGTATGATCCAATTATAGCATTACAGGTAGGTAGGTCTCTGGGCTATGGTGTAGACAGTCATCTTGAATACAGATACTTAGCTTTATAGAAAAATATTTTTAAAGAGTTTATTTATTTATTTTTGGAAAGAGAAGAAAGGTGGGAGAAAGAGAGGGAGAGGAACATCAATGTGTGGTTGCCTCGTATATGCCCCCTACTGGGGACCTGGTCTGCAACCCAGGCATGTGCTCTGACTGGGAATTGAACTAGCGACCTTTTGGTTAGCAGGTTAGTGCTCAATCCACTGAGCCACACCAGCCAGGGTGATAGAAAGATACTTTTATCTATTCATTTTAACAAATTGGGTGTAAAACATCAGAGTCCTGACGGAAGTAAATAAGGATCTGCCACCATAATCCCCCTTTCAGAAAACAGGAGAAAGGCATCTTATATCATTCTAAGTGCATGTTCTAACCAGCGAATTGATCAGTAAGAGCTCAAGAAGGAGTATTTACAGCATGAAAACACTTTTGCTACTGGGAGTGGGCTGGGGATAACGGAGGTTGGAAAAGAATACTTCTCCTTGGAAGCATGCTGACCAATGGTGTGAGGACCTGCTGGCACCAGGCGTTGTGAGAAGGACAGGACGCTGTCAGAAAGCTTAGCGGTCACCTGCCACATCTGAAACAGTTACTGTTTCGTGTAAGGAAAGAGGACACTCACAACCTGAGCCATGGCTCCAAAAGGGCCGAGCACAAGAAATATAGAGGGTCCAGCAGCAGGAAGGCCTGCGTGAGTGTGGTTGGTAGGGTAATAATATGGATGCAACAATGTATAGTTTTAACTTGAACATTCCACCTAAAATGCCATATGGTGTGCTTGAGTGTGATATTGCTATGTCACAGAATTACATGCTTATGATTTTTAATAAAAGACTTATTAAAAAGGGGTGCTATCTGTGCCAGACATTGTATTTACACATTTAGAATACATAAAAATTTCTGTATTTAGCCCTGGCTGGTGTGGCTCAGTGGACTAAGCACCAGCCTGTGAACCAAGGGGTCACTGGTGTGATTCCTGGTTGGGGCACATGCCTGGGTTGTGGGCCAGGCGCCGCCCCCCCCAGTAGGGGGCAGGAGGTAGTCACATATTGATGTTTCTCTCCCTCTCGCCTTCCTTTTCCCTCTCTCTGGAAATAAATAAAATCTTTAAAAAATTTTTGTGTATTTATATATAATATATTTAGCCCTGGCTGCGGTGGCTCAGTGGACTGAACACCAGCCTGTGAACCAAAAGGTCGCCAGTTTGATTCCCAGTCAGGACACATGCCTGGGTTGCGGGCCAGGGCCCCAGTTGCAGGTGTGTGAGAGGCAACTGATCAGGTTTCTCTCCCTCCCTTCCCCTCTGTCTAAAAAAGTAAATAAATGAAATCTTTAAAAATAATATATTTATCAGTATATAAATATAATGTATAACATAATATATAATATAGAAATCTATAATATATGACATATATATTTAATATATATAGATTTAGGGATCTTAAGGAACTACTTTTGCCAGTTTCAGCCTTTTCAAATGTTGCTCTTACACTCTTAAAATTTTGCATTGATAATATGCGAGGTGATTTCAATTAATATAAAATCTGCATTAACCCACTTTGTAGATGAGGGAAAGTGCAGTATTTTATCATTCCTCCAATTGTATTTTGGGCAACTGATGAAGGTAAATTCATCGTCACTTTAGCGTGTATGACCTTGGGTGGCCCTGGCTGTTCACGTGATCTTGTCTCCTGACAAAATTACTGGCCCCGTCAGGAGGGTCGGCACGGGCCTCCGGAGACCAGAACCGGGCTCCAGGCTCCAGCATTCCAGGACTGACCCCACCGCTTTGGGAAAACTGTTTAACCCCATCCGCTGGCATTTGTGAAGCCAGGGATTAAGGAAGAGGCCCGTTCAAGTCCTTTCCCACTCCGAGCACCTGTTCTCACAGAGGGCACTCCTTCCTGGTAAACTCCGCTCTCTCCCAGCCCTGAGCTCAGAGGACTTGCCCGTTACAGCTCCTGAACTGGCAAGGAAATGTGACATGCTCCTGCGCTTCCACATCCTGGTGCTAAAAAAATCTCAGCCTGTGGCTCTAGAAACAAGTAGCCCTTGGAAATGAAAGTAGATACAAGATTGTCACTGTCAAAAACATAATCATCATCAGTCATGACCAAGTGGCAGCTCTCAGTCACAGCACCTCCTGGCCCATATTTCATTTTAATCCTTTAGTCATCCTGTGTGGGATAAGCATTATTCCTATTTTACCGATTAAAAATCAAGGCTCTTTATAGAACCTTTCTAAGTAAATGTGTTACTTCGCTAGGAAATATGTGATCAGATCTTCCTTAGACTTTCACTTACTATTCTTGGGAGAATGTATTATAGACTTCCCAGGATAAATCAAAAGTCACTTATAATAAATATTAAATGCTACCAGGAGCCCAGCATTCAAGTTAATGCAAGGAACAGACATGTGACCCATATATATACGTTTTAATCAGAATTAAAGATAGCCTGCATGTAATGTTCGACATTCCTTATCTGAAAGCTGAGCAGCTACTCTTCTGGCTGTTTCTGTGGGAACTGCACCACGGCCCTGGGGTCATGCCACAAAGCACACAGACTGTCATCTCCACGCCACCATCACACTTACACGCAGATTTAAAATTTGGCTCCTCTGTCAAGATTTCTAGTGCCCAACTGCTATACACAGGTATGGCTACGGTCTCGGGAAGCACAGATACAACTCATAATTGCAGGCAAGTTCTGTTGATGAGCACTGGTCTAGAATCTGGAGTACCTGAGAAATCAACCCTTGAAACTCTGGAAGTTTAATGATTACTGGGGAAGTTCATGCTGCAGAGTGGTTAAGAGCACAAATTCTATACCCAAACTTTCTAGCCTCAAATACTGGGTCCAAGCTCCATGACTCTGAGCAAATTACTAAGTACTCTGTGCCTTAGCTCCCTCATCTGTAAAATGGGCATGATGACAGTGCAACTTTTCAAAGGAGCTGTAAGCACTAAATGGGTTAATGTATGGAAAGCACTTATAACAGTCTTCAGCACGTGTGTGCTATTTAAGTGTTAGACCCTAATACTATTAGTTTCGCACTGGAACGTACGTCCGGAATTTAGTATCTGTTACTGCAGAACAGATGCAAACCAATTTTTGTGATCTTGTCTGCGTCCACCTTCCCCGTGAGCCCACTGCACTGGAATAGGTTGAAACGCCCTCTTGTCAGCAGGAGGTGCGTGAGACCGGGCCCACTCGGCTCCTTACTTGTACAGCAGGATGTCGGCTGCCTGCAGCACCGGGTAGGTGAGCAGGCCCACGGTGCCATCGTGCTTCTGCCCGGCAGTCTTCGCCTGTGGGGTGAAAAAGAGGAGGGGAAGACATCGACATGAACCTAGTTATACTAAGGTAAGAAATCTTTACACCAGGTAAACAGTAATCTGATGCCACCTGTAAAAACACTGCATCTCCACCCCTTTTAGCAGCTCGAGCCATCTTCCTGCCGGCTCGTCTTCACGCTCCAGGCCTAGGCAGGAATGAGGGGAGTCCACTCCACCACTGCCACTGTCTCTCATTCATTTTATTAAGCTAAGGGCATGAGTGTTTTCAAGATTCTGAATGGGATACGTTCCCGATTTCACAGGGAAGGCCAGGAAATGTCATGAAATGAATCGTCTATAAATTAACATAACATCAAATGCCTGTTGTGTGTCTGGGGGAACATCCCAGCAAGTCTCACACTGTGCTGCTGACAAAACTGGGGTGTTCCCTTAAAATCACATTTAAGAAAACAACAACCCACCCCCCAATCATGGCACTGAAAAAATAAAAAGAAGAGAAATTTTAATCTACCAATCCTAATTATCTGCATTGGTCTTTAGGTGCTAAAGTAAAGTGATTCCAATGAACAGGAAAGGTTGTAGAGAACAGGATATTTCCTTAACCGGGAAGCACCAGAGGTGACATTAGAAACAGTTAATGCCTGGTGAGCAATGGCTGCCAGCTGTAAACTACTAGTATGTTCCGCTGAATGTGAGCCTTGGGGATGCCAGCTCCCTGCTGCAGTTAAACAGGTGACAGGTTAACTTGGTTCTCTGAGTAGGGCTACTTATTAGCAAGGGATATTATGTGCAGCTCACTGGTAACTGCTTCCAAGGCCCAGGTATCTCGCTGCATGTACAATGTCAAATAGATATCTTGCTGTGTAGATAAACCTCATTTGTTTCACTAACACGAATCTCTTCTCAGGGGTCCTTTTATGACCGAATGAATCGAACGACTGAGTTTATGGACTTGGATGACCCCCAGCGCCAGGCTCAAGGACACTCCCGACTCGGGCTGCCCGGCAGCACGCAGAGACACACCCCTGGAGTCCCACGGGGTCTGAAAGGCAAGAGCTTCGCGCTCCAACCACCTCAACGTCAGTGTTCCATAATTCACTTCCAAACTTAAATTTCCTGGTTACCACTTCAAGGGGTTTCTGGCTTACAGCAACTATGCTGCAGGCCAGTCAAAGGCAATGTGAAAGTTCAAACCCAGCTCCCCCCGTTCACCTCCTTCCAATGTCCCTGATAGAGGCCGGTCCCCAGCGGTCTCTGGGTAGAGATAATGAAAGTTTGATTTGGAAATGAGCGAATGGGAAAAGAACTCAATTTTTAAAAATTGCCACTGCATTAGATTTATAGCTTTTTTATATTAGAAGACTGGATCTTGAAATTACAAAGAGAAGGGAAAGACGTGGAGAGCACTAATATTTATCGAGTGCTTATTATCAACCCCAGATGGCGTATATCTGTTATCTCATTAATCCTCCCAATAGCTCTGACCTTGGCAGCCCTGCCTCCACCTTCCTACCACACTATCCCGCCCCTCACTGCCCCATCAAAACCGAGCTGGTGCTCTTAGATCTGGAACCTTCCCTTTTTCTCTTTCATACTTTCTGATCACTTGTTTCACTGCCTTTTCTCCAACAGATGAGAAGCCTCATGAAAGGGGCCACATCCATCTGTCCTGGTGACTGCTGAACCTCTAGCACCTAGTGTGACGGGAGACTTGGAGAAGCATCGCAAGTATTTGTCAATGAAGAGATGACCACAGAAGGCAGTAATGTGCTCCAGGTTAAGGCTGGCATTGGGAGTCCATGTTTTCCCCACAAATATGAAATTACGGGCTCAGGGGAAGGCTTCCCCAGAGTATCATCACAGCATCCATAGTTAGCGGTACCAGGAGGTCCTCAGACACTGTTTTCAAGGAGGAACATTTCCCATTAAATTAGTATTGAGCTCTTATAAAAAAGGATTTCGGTGTTCAATTGAGTGTTAGAGCACTAGGATAAACCGGGAAAGTCTTGCCTAAAGCTAAAATGTGGCAGAGAACATCACAGAATTCTGTTCTGAATTCTTGTCAGGTAACGATTCTGCAGCATCGTCAAAGCCTCTTTTCCAAGCACTGTTTTTTCAAGCTCTGTCCACAGCCCTCTGCAGCATCTGCAAAGCTGCTGAGCCAGCTTGCTGGAAAGAAGCATGGAACTGAAATTAGCACTGACATAGTCAGGGCCTACCTACCCCTGGGTTATCCAGTTGCAAAAATAAATGGAAGTAAAGTACTGTGAATTACCAGTTTATCTTTCTTACTTGAACTTCTAAGAAAAAAGTCTAGCCTTAATTTTTCTGTGGGTTTGAACTGTTGCCTGGACTCAACTTGTTTAAATGTTGAATAAAATATGTTGTCTCTTCAGCCCACAGTGAAAATATTCTTAGGCCTCACTGCCAGTTAATCCCAGTGCCAACAGGACAACTTCGGAGTCCAGCAACCCAGATACAGCGATTGTTTGTTAATTACAATGTGGCAGCTTCAAAGCCATGACCAAGCCCATCCAAAGGTTACTCTGATTCAACCATACACAGATAAAATCAAGTAATAAGTTGTATATTTTTACCCAGTTTTTCAGTTGGAAAGAATCTTAGGGAACTCTTTTAATTTCCATGTAATACAGCGAGGCACAGAGTTTAAAGACAGCTCTTCTAGTTACTAGTGGGTGGCAGACCAGGAGAGTCAGGAACACAAGATTCCCAGAGCCTACCACAAAAATAAACAGAAACGGGAAAAACAGCTGTAATGCAGACTTTGAACTTCTGCTTGTTAATTAGGTGACAGCATTTACCTTCCACTGGTGTAAATGCTGTAATCGGGGTAGTCTGACCATGCAGGTGAGGATCCAACTTAATTGTGTGTGTTCAGCCACCTAAAGAAATAAGGCAGAACGTTAACAAGGGTGGTCAATGTTTTCTTACATACGCAACAAAACTAAACAGACAGGTGTTACCCCAAATCAAGGTAATTTTAAAAGGGACAGGTGACAGGGATGGATTCATAATGCACAGGATTTTAGGTGAAGAAGAAATCTTCAAAACTAACCAATGCCATTGCTAAGCTAGTGTTTAAATCCTCTTTACAACATCCTTTTCAAGAGGCTGACCACGCTGTTTCAAAATCTTCAGTGAGAGGATTTCACTAAATCCTATTCCCTCTTTAGAAAGCCAAGGTTATTAAGAAACACACACATATACACAGGTTCAAATCCAGTTTAAATGACTCCTAACTATAGGAAAATAGCTATAATACCTTACATGTAAATGGAAGAGAAAGGTATTGGAGTTAAAGATTGATCCTTTAGACCTAGAATAAAGAGAAATTTAGGAATCGCTTAGTCATCTCAAAGGGTGTTTTTATAATTTCTAGTTGTTCCTCCTCTTCTTCCTCTTTTTTCCTCTTCCGTCTTCCTCCCCCTCCCTTTTTTTTAAAAAAAGAAGTCTAGTCAACAACAACAAAAAATATAGCTTTTTCCCAGTTTGCTTTTGTTTTAACCAGCCTTAATCCAGTCACCGAACCTGGTTACAATGGGGCGGTTCCTGGGCCCAGGCCAGGGTCTCGGCGATGACCTGGAATCTGAGGCCTGTGGGTCTTGTTTCTGGGCCCTGGAGACTTCCAGGCTTCACCCACTGTGGCTCTACTCGTGTCCATATGATTTCCTTCAAAAGCAGAGACTGTTGGCAACTCTGAAAAGTGGCCCCAAATGTGCTCTTTGTGGGTTTTGCAAAGGGAGCGTAAAGGGATGGGGCTGAGTCAGCCCAGGCCTATTTCACTGGCGAGGAATCGCCATCTGGCTTAAGCTAGCTTCTCATTTTTTCCCTCAAGTCATGGAGAAGGAAGAGTTGTTTTTCACATGTTTGACAAGGAATCGCTTTTCAAGTTTTGCAAGCTGCTGGGCTGAATCTGTCATCTTTCTTCCAAGGACCATTTGGGCCTCGCTGAGGGCAGCGACTCGGACCGCACTGTCCATGCAAATTGCTAACTGCTGCCGCCATAAACAAACGGCCACCAGACAAGCACAGGGACGCTGGCTGGAGGCAGGAGGACTCCAGTGGCTTCTGATCATCAGGCAGAACACACACCTATTAGAATTAATCACACAAGAGCTGGCTTTTGGCATGAAGAAGTCAGAGGGAATATTTTGTTTCTTCTTTACTGAACCGGGCAGAGGAGTAACACGGAAAATAATCGTGGACGTGCAGAAAGAGACGAGATGATTCCCTTCCTTCAGCACAGGCTCTCGCGCGTGGCCTTGGTGATACGCAAGCAGCTAGTATTGGGTCTCCATGAGGTCAGGTATTTTCCTTGGAGTAGCAGTTTATATTTTATTTTGATAAATGGAATGAGACTTTAATCTAACCTCCAGAGATCTTCCTGGTGTTTCCAAATAAGGGGGCATAAAATTAAGCTAAATTATTCTTAAGACAGAGAACAAAGTAGGTAAAAGGTCAAAGGCAATTTTCACAATTTGTTATTACTAATTATATAAGAAGAGTAGAACGCTTCAGGCTTTGTTGTTTTTTTTTTATATATAATTTACTCATATTTCCAAGACAACTGCGTGGAAAGGCTCAGATGTGTATCCGGAGAAAAGTAGAAATGGCATTTCAATGTAGTATGTTTTGAGCTATGCTGTGAAACCACACACAGAATGATAACATGGCCTGTTTGAGCCACAGACAAACAAAATCATGACACGACATGATGGCCATCTGCAGACAAGTCAGTAGTGACCAAAGACTTCGGACCCCCGACGGTCACAGTGAGGACACGTGTGTTCGTCAGTGACGGTAGTTCTGCCTCCTGTTCGTTGCTGTAAATCAAGAGTCTGACACATGGTAGCTGCTCAATAAATACTTTTCGAGTGTATGATCAACATCAAAGGCTGCAGAAAGAATGGTTAGGACCAAAAAGAATCTATTAGATTTAGTGACAGGCTTGCTGGTCATCCAGGCACACACGGTCTCCGGGCAGTGACTGGAAGAACGCTAAAGTACAGGGGGGTGGGCTGGGCTGTGCATAGGAAGCAGGAGATGAAGACAGATGTACAAGAAGTAAGGCTAAGGGCTCTTCAGCCCTCCTCAAAGAAGTGGTTAAGAGCTCTCTCTTTGGAGTGAGGCTGCCTGCATTCTAATGCGAGTTCTGCCACTATTAGCTGGGTGACCCTGCACAAGTGACTTAACCTCTCTGTGCCTCACTTTCATCATTTATAAAACGAAGTTAACAACAGTATCCACCTGACCAGTGCTTAGAACAGTATCTAGCACACAGTAAGCACTCAGTAAGTGGTAGTTATTATTATGGGTAATTTTCAGGATGACTTGTAATTTTTAATTTTGAGATGATTCATGTATAGTTGTAAGAAATAATATAGAGAGACCCAGTATACCCTTTGCCCAGTTTTCCCAATGGCAACATCTTGCATAAGTGTAATACAATAGCACAACCAGGAAACTGAATCTGGTATGGTCCATCCACCCTATTTAGATTTCATCAGTTTTCCAAGCACTCATTGCGTGAGTATATTTAGTCCTATGCAATTTTATCACATATAAGACATTTCTTTTTAAAGAAAGGGTAGAGATGGCAGTAGCTAGTAGGAGGGGATAGGCCTACTTTACAAAACATCTTCCACTGAAACAGGAGGAGGGGAGATAAATATAGATGAGGTTCTATCTTGTGGGAGAGAAGCAGAGAGCAGAAAGTTAGAGGACTTCACATGTAAGGGCTCTATTGTCTCTGCACATAGAAGACGAGCGATTAGAAATAAATGGGGTAAGAAATCTACTCAGCAGAATTGCTGGGTTTGATGGGGAAGAACAAAAGATCTTCTGGAACAGAGTTCTATGAGGCATGATGTTCTGTGGATGTTTTTGTGAATTAAAGAGGGCAGTCATCTGTAACATATACTCTCAGGGAAGCACTGGTATTCCTGAAGACAGACTAGTGTTCTGTCTAAATAATAAGTCTTTAAAAGTTTTGCAGAGAAAATTCAATCAGTTGGTCGCATCTTTCATTTTCTTTGGCCAGCAAGGATTTTTAATGGAATCCAAGAAGTACTAAACACAAAGCAGAATATCTAGATAAATTAAACTCCATTAAAATGGACAACTCTTTATCTGACACCATCATTTAAAGCAGGAGTGTCAAACTCATTTTCACTGGGGGCCACATCAGACTTGCGGTTGCCTTCAAAGGGCTGAATGTAATTTTAGGACTTTATAAATGTAACTACTCCCTAACTAGGGGCAAGGGGCTTGGCACTGCCACCGGGTAGAAACAAGGTGCCTGGCTGGAAAAAAACAAGGTGGAGGGCAGGATCAGGCCTGGGGGACTTATGTTTGCTACCTGTGATTTAAAAGAGAAAAGAAAAGTTACAGAGCAGGAGAAGATATTTGTAAACCTATATAGAATATATTGGTATACAGGAAATGTGCAAACTCCTATAAATTCATAAGAAAATAGCAGACAAACCTATGAAATTGGCCAAATGCATTAAATGCAAATTAAAATGGTATCACTGTGATACCGGTACACACGCATCGGGATGATTAAGTGAAAAAGCTGAATCATACCAACTATGGCGAGGATATTCAGTAAACAGAACTTTTATACATTGCTGTGGGACATAAACTGGTCATATATCAACTTTAAAAATTATGTCCACTAACGCTCAACATTCATATAACATAGGACCAAGGTAGTCCATTTCTAGGAATATATCTAACAGGGATGATCTCAAAAATATGTGTGCAAGAATATAATGTGACAGCCCCAAACTGTTAGCAATCCAACTGCCCACTTGTGTAGAATGGATGAATAGTGGCATGGCCACACAATGGAACACTACAGCAATGAGGGTGGATGAACAATTGCATTCAATGATACAGGCCAATCTCATAAAGGCAAGGATGAATGAAAACAAAAGGGTATGCATGAAATAATTCAAATGATATCACATTCAGAAACATGTTACCGTAGCAGAGGGATAATTGGAGGCTGCAAAGGGGCCTGAAGAGCCCTCTGGGCATGAGCTACACAGGCCTGTTCAGTGTGTGAACACAGGTGAGAGGAGGTAAATCCAGCTACACTGGGCCTTCAATAAAATAAAGTTAAAACCTTTTTGGTGTTTAAAGCCAGGTGATGGGCATTCTGGAATAGATGGGTAGCCCCTGAGAATCTGCTCCTTCACAAAATCAAGAGCACCCTAGCAAACACTGTCCAAGTTGACTTTTTCCAAACTGTGGAAATTAATCCAAGGTGGCAATAACCTGAAGAGTATTTATTTAAGAAAAACATCCAAATCTCAGTAAAAACGGAGAGCTCTGTGGCATTTTTAATGCATCCTATTCCCATCAGCCTCCCCCCAGGCCTGTGGTAGCCATGGAAACCAGCAGCTTAGTTGTCACGGGATGGGGAAAATTGGGGTTGGAGTGCCTCAGAGAGGCCCATCTCCAGAGAACTGTCACTGCTGAGCCTGTCTGACAGCCCCCTGGAAAAGCCCCATGTGCAGGGCTGCTGTCATTTGACCTGTCTTAGAGCTCATGCAGTTGGGAAAGTCTTGGACATTTTTCAGAAATACTCAGCAGCAAAGACTTAATACTGCAGCTGCCTGAGGTGCTGACACCAGCAGGGGAAAACACGAGGCTGGTCAAAAGGCTTAAAGGGAAAGAAAAGCTGCAAAACGATACGCCTGCTGGGTGCTCGGACAAGACCTGCCATACTCCCGGGCATCCGGATGGCCGCATGCATGTGCTGGGCTGTGCACAGCACCCGGAAAGGCCTGAGCAGACCCCCATCTCTCACCTCAGGCTCACCTCCAGGCCCTGTGAAGGCTCCTTGGCCAAGGGTCAAAAGTATAGAATGGAGGCA